AATACAAAAAGGCAATAAAAACACAATATAATAAGCACGGGTCTTTCATTTAAACTTAGTACCCAGGATGTTTCCTTCACATGAGCTGACTACTTCAAACATTCAACATGTGATCTTTGTTTTTTTTGGGGGGGTGGGGGGATCATCAGCAGGGCTATTCAACTGGGGGCCTGGGGGCCAAATCAGGCCCACGGGTGAGCTCAGTTTGGCCCACCAATGGGCTCATTTTTAAATACAACTAGACAAAACACACAATAACTGCAGGATGTCTGGCCCCTGAGCTCTTGGCTTTCAGTAACTGTGCCCCCCCCCCTCCCCCCGAGCAGTTTAGTTGAATAGCTCTGATCAGCTGCATGCTTCCTCATCCACTTTGTTTGAGACTCCATAAAAGATGCCAGTTTTTGATTCTCCAGGACCTTTGTTGACGTTACAATGAGACTTTGGTGCTTTCTAAAAGCCACACAGAAACTGAACCGTTAGCTTTGACAGACGGACATAAACATACGATATACAAGCACTGCAGGGATGAATTCATTCACCGGAAACACAAGTTAAAAAAGCCACTTAAATTAATTTCAATTCCATTTAAGCCTCATCACCTCTTTGGTACAAAACAAAAACTTTCCATTCTACTCCATCTACTCCCATACTTTACTTTCACTAGTCTACATTACAAATCCTTCTACAAAATAAATCCAGCACCTCGACCTTTTCTGTGTTCCACAGGAAAAGCCCCCTCGCTCTCCAATCTTGGCATCACATCTCTCTTTCACACACTTCTCCACCGCCTACAGCTATGAACCTCTACACGCTGCCTCTCTCTTACGCTCTAATAAAAACAATAGCCGGCTAATTGTGCTTGGTTGACATAATGAAGTAGTACACCCAGCTGGAGGGCTGAGCTCAGACCGCAGATCCCACCTGTGCTGAGTCGGGTTTGATAAGAGATCTCCAGAACAAACACGTCTCCAGCTTTTTGTCTGAGGAATTTGCTGCATCATCAGTTAGCTCAAACAAAACGGCCTTACTTAGCACTTTCGAAGAGCTGCGGGTGAAATTTTTTAACTAGTCCCACAATGGAAAACACCTTGAAAGTTGTTCGGCAAAATGAAATAAAACTGGATTTTTCCACTAACAGCAGTCTTAAGAGAGACAAGAACATTCAAGGATTCTGCAATCTCAGTTCGTTGGGTGTCCAACATGCTTTTGACTCAAACACTGATGAAAAAAGAGTTTTTTCCCCAAAGTGGCCTAGAAAAAGCTAGTAGAAAAAAAGGAGTTTGATTTACCTGGCGTTTACCTTTGAACCCTAAATGAAGTGAGTCAGCTATGCTCTGAAGGCCCCGGGTTTCTCCACATTCACAAACAGCATAAAACAACAACTGGTCGTCGGGTGGCCTGGCTTTGCCCTCTACATTAAGGAAATGACATATATAATTTTAGTTATGAATCAAAAAAGGCACTTCCTACCTATTCTCTAGTATCATACACAGGACATACACTTTTAGGAAGAAATATATGCTTGCATTTTTTTTACATGCGCAAACACAGTTATGTAAGATGAAGGTATACGTGTTCTTATCACTGAGTAATAGAATTATATATGTCAGTTTCACATAAAGCATTGGAAACAAGGAGCTTCAAACTCTTCCAGTAACAGCCAGCCACCCACCAGTTTGACATCTGCAACTAAAGCTTAAAAATATAAATAAATAATTGATTTTTTTTTAAACAAGACCCTGGTTTGTTTCTTCTTTTATAAGGGAAGTAAAGATCACAACAGCATGTGCTCCATGCGAGTTTTAAGGTGCTTCTGTAAACTCCTATGGGTGGCGTACAAAGAGAGCCAACCAGTTTCTGGTCGGTGCGTTTGTGATTCAAACTTGCCTTCGTGCTAAATATGTAAACATGTTGAATGCAGCAAAGTCTCCGGGTGGGCCGAGAAAGCCGACTGGGTGGCGTTCTCGTGTGCCAGCTGAGTCTTTTCTCTTCACCAAAATCTGATCCACCTGTTGGCCTGAGAAGTGCCCCTACGTGTGCGCATCGGAGTGTGTTCGTGTGCGTGAGCACAAACATATCTTCTGCATCAACATTTCTGCTTTCCGGTAATTTATAAACTTGCAACCTCCCAAAGGTATCCCAGTAACACACTGGTCGTTATTGCCACACACACAAACACACACACTACACACACACGGAGCTGTGCTTGGAACCCTCTGCTTCTTCTCTCTCTGCCACCCGGCTCTTACGTGAGCTTGCTGCTGATGTCCAGGGCTTGCTGGTACACCTGAGTCATGTCCTCCAGATCCCCCAGCAAACAGAAGCTGCCATTGTCTCCTGGGGAGCCCTTTGCTTTGGGGCCCCGGCTAATCTTAGGTCCCTGAAATGGCGGAGCGGCCTGGAAACCCTTGAAGTTGGCGAGCTGCAGCAGGTTTTCGGCCGAGACGCAGGCCCTGATGTTTGGGCGGAGGTGTGGAGTGGAGGAGTGCCACTCAGCCCCGCTGAGGGAACTTGGTGACAGTGACAGGACGGAGCTGTCCTCCCCTACTATGCTGGAGGGGCGACTTTGACTGCGCGACAAACCTGAGTCCGCTGGGGGAGGAGGTTCACCAATGATCCCCATTACTGTTGCTGATGAGGGTGGCCCACTGTAGGTGGAGTACTTTCCATTTCTCTTGAGGATGCCCTTTCTCCCCATTGCTCTTTTGGGTGGGGAGGTGGCTACAACAGACATACTAGCCCCCCCTAAAAGCTCAGAGGACTCGCTGCGCTCCGGGGATGAATAGTACCCTGATTCCCGCTGTTGGTTGTTTTTCAAGATGCCTTTCTTGGGTAGAGAGGGCACCATCTTAGCCGGCGAACCTTCTCCCAGAGTCGGCTCTTCTTCCTCTCTGTCTGGGCTGGAAGCTTCATCTCCACCTTCAGCTTGTAGAGGCAGAGCTGCTTGACCCACCGCCCCTTCTTCAAGACTGGCCGACTGCTGGTCCTCAGTGACCCTGGTCTTCAAAATGCCCTTGGGTCTCTTCAAACCTGGCTTATCCTCAGCTCCACTATGGGACTGTCCGGCCTCAACATTTTCCTTTTTTAATTTTTTGGGCCTCTGGCGTAGCATATTGGGCATGGCAGCAACTTTGGCTCCAGTTCCTCGCGGCTCGGTTCGGTTTTGCCAGTCAATGAAACGGGCCAGCATGGGCGAACCTCGATGTTCTCGTTGGGTCTCGCAGTCACACACACTGTTCTTCCAGCCCCAGTTGACCCACCAGTGGTTAGCTATGTCTTCCACTGTGGCTCGGCGCTCTGGGTTTACCATCAGCATCCAACGGATTAGTCCTCGAGCATCTGAGGAGACACAAGGATCTGTGAGCTGCGTCAGGCTGTTTAAGATGTAACCATGTTGAAATTATATGCACATATCATCCTAAACAACATGACCTGACATGAGGGTTTCTACATTTATAAATGCTGGATTTTCTGTTTCACTTTTGCCATTTATCTGCCTTTGTTAATCTTTAATCTATTTTGCTTTTTAAATACATCACCGCAAGAACATAATGGATCTAAAAACACGAGTTTCTTGTTGCTTTGTTTAGTAGTTAAAAACACATTCACTTCAGTGTATATCATTTAATTTGCTTCTTGAATGTTAAATTTCCCAACAATGAAACATTTCTTTTTTTTTTTAATAAGTCTGTATGTTTCAGTCTGCATTTCTGGAAGGGATGTTGACAATCAGGTGTGCTTATCATGCATGACAAGACCCAGAAGACTCTTTAGTACCTGAGGACTGAGCGGGCTCTTTGTACTCGCCATTGCTTATCTGGCGAATGAGGTTCTTGTGGTCTCCCCCATCAAATGGCATAGTTCCATACACCAGGGTGTACAGCAACACCCCAAGAGCCCAGCTGTCCACCTTGTGGAAACAAAACCTGGTCAAAAACTTGTTCATTTAGTCAGAACTAACAGTTTTTTAAGCATGCATACTGTGGTCATCAATCTTTTATTAAAACAGGTCTCTCTTGTAAATGAGTCCTCGAGGCTAAACGTGAATACTTGTATCAATAAAGTTTGAATGAATTATGTATGTGGTATGTAAGCAGAAAGGTTTATTTAAACTGAGGTGTGTTACAAAACCTAAATGAGAGCCCTCTTTTGATAAATGACTGACAACAAGAAAATGTGAATGAGCTCATCTCTGCACATCAGATTAGAGCTCTGACCTCTGCTTTAAAGTTTACATCACAGTAACAAGCGCTCCAATCAACATTTCAATTTAAAATAATTCAAAGGCATCTCTGTTTAAGAGCTTCTGACACATTTCTGTAAAAAAAAAAAAGTTATGACAAATCCTGGCAGTATTGTGGGAAACGTCTTGTTTCCTCACAGATAAGTTGCCCTCGCTCCTTCCTGTTCAGTCAGGCAGAAAGAAACCCCTTCTAATGCAATGTGATGCAATGTGACGGTCTCAGAAGTTACATAAGATTTTGTGTTTATGTGACATGAAAAGGAACAGGGTCATGGTGGGAAATGGAAAGAGGAGAACGACAATAGCAACTGAAGAGGTAGAGGTGTGATATATCGAGCCCCTGACAATCCAAGTATGTGTATGATAGCAGCTGACATGTGTCGACTGTAAATTACTGAAAACATGTAGATGTTTTGAGAAATGTTGACTGGGGTAAGCTAAAACTCTGAAACACAGACAAGGAAGGGGAAATCAGATAAGAGCAGTTAAGGAACTGGTGTACTTCCTTTAAGACTCTGGACCTGCATCAAAAATGCTTCACTCATCGGATGCTGTTGGATGTCTGGAGGCAAGACGGGGAACATTCTTTTCTTGAGTTTTAATTTAGCTGTTTGCTGTGATGTACGTCCCCACCCCATTTGTGTGTCAGTTATTTGAATAGCCCTCACACTTTAACACTCTTCAGTAAACTGAAGCAACATCCTCTAAATAGAACATCTAAATTAGAATATCTACAAATGCAACTGTTTTCTGTCTGTTGTCTATTTTTCTGCAACCAACACACTTGTAAAGGTCTGGTCAAGTGGCTTTGGGGAGACTTTTTTTTTTTACTTTTTTTTTCCAAGCCAAAACTATTCAGTCAGAGTCTAATTTTGACTGTGCATGGTCTTTTAAGGATGTGAGAATCATTCTAATCCCATTCAGTTTAAGAGAAAGTGAGCAGACACCACCCTTCACTTCCTCACTTCAAAGGACCTAAACACCGTAGGAAGGCAATACTAGGGATGCCAGTGCTGTCTGCTGAGACCCATTCTGAAGTTGCACGACCTCCCCCTGACTACCGTATAAACTAATCTCATCAAAGAGTCTGAAACTGAGGCCTATCCACTGATAAGGGTCACTGTGACCGTAATCAGTTGCTAGATAAAATGAAGGAGAGATATCCACTGTGAGGATCATAATAAAATCAGTTCCTGAGGGAAGGTTAATGAAGGTTTCAGTCTACATCAGAGCAGCATGGTGGTGCAGTTGGTAGAGCTGACGCCTCTCAGCGAGCAAGTCGTCTCAGTTCAGATCCTAGTCGGGGTCTATTCTGGGTGGAGTTTGCATGTTCTCTGTGAGCATGTGTGAGTTTTCTGCTGGTACTCCAGTTTCCTCCCACAGACCAAAAACATGCACAGTTACCTGTAATCCATTGGTAACTCTAAATTGACTCTAGGTGTGAGTGAGAGAGTGAATGGTTGTTTGTCTCATTTGTCTCTAAGTGTCCCTGTGGTGGACTGGAGACCTGTCCAGGGTGTACCCCACCTCTCGCACAGTGATGATGGATGGATAGTCTAAATCAGTGTTTGGGTCGCCTCACCTCTGGGCCACGGTACGGTCTTCCATTGACGATCTCCGGTGAAGCATAGAGCGGGCTGCCACAGAAAGTTTGTAGCAGTTTATCCTTATGGTAGATGTTGGACAACCCAAAGTCAGCAATCTAGAAAATAAAGTGAGCACATGTGTATTTTACATGGGCTATGTGCTTGTTAATCCTTCATGAGGTAAAATCTTAGTCTATATATATATATATATACACATAGTTTATATGGTAAGACATCACAGATTAAAGACAGACTCACCTTAATATTACAGTTTTCATCCAGTAGCACATTTTCCAGTTTCAGATCTCTGTGCACTACACCGTTCTGAAAGTCAGCAAGAAGAAATAAATGAAATGAAGTGTCTATGAATTTATTATTCATGAGCTGGCCATTGTTTTGGAAATGATTTGCTCTAACAAAGAGAGCTTGTCACTCCTTGGGGAAATCAAGGCCCACTTTCCTTTAATTGGCCTTGTACCCTCGAAGATCTTTGTGCTAACATCTGCTGTGATTTTCATTTTAAATGGACTCACATGTGTCACATAAACATGAGCCTGTAATTACCACCCTGTGCAAATGATGTTCTCACAGCACTTAAAAAAATATATTAAAGCAACAACTCTGTAGTTATTGGTTCGGTTTAAGAAAACAACTTGGAATTACCATGTGGAATGCAGAAAGAATATATAATGCATTAGCAAGCCATTCTTCCTGCACTGATTTGCATGGGATCTTGCTTTAGTTGTTGCTTGTCGTGCAGCTCTTGTTCACAAGACTCCAGTGGTGAACCGTGACTGTACGAGCCTTCACTTAGGATACACTATTGCAGCAGCCTGATAAATGTTAATGCCAAGGTTGCTACAGAGTTATGATCTGATTACCTCACCTCACTTTCAGTTTCACAATGTAGAAACTTGATGAACAGGGAGTGTTTTCCTTCTTTTTATACAAGTAAAACATCAGACTTATGGTGGACAGCCTGGACATCACAGTTAAAACAACAGGGACAACCCATCTGAATACATAACCTGAAGAAGTCCACCATTTCTGTCCCAAGACCACACCATTGTGGCTCACCCAGGCTCTTGTGTTCATGTACAACGTGTCATTTCAATAACCCACAATAAAATTTATCAGGAACCCAAAGAACTTACGGTTTCTATAAAATTTCATCAAGTGTTAAAACCAAAATACAACTGTAATATTGAAAAATATTTATGTAAATCTATACGGGATTTTTAATCTTCCATCTTTTCAAACAAACTAAAATTTGAGTGTGGATTTTTAAATTTACAGGTTGCACTCGAATGCATTACAAATTATGCGTTTAAAAAACACCTGCAAGGCCTTCCTGAAGGCTCAGTGCTCGTGTTTGGTCCCACCCACTTTATTTCAGAAATGTGATTGGTTAATTTTCCTGTCAGTTGTTAATCAAACTCATCATGAGGAGACTGCGCTGCCAGTGGTGTCCTAACCAGAGACAATTTCAAACATGTTGCTGCCAGAAGACACAAATTTAAAAGAATCTGATTGAATAACTGTATTATTATTAATTAAAAGCTTTATTGCTCAACTGCAAAGTAGTTGAAAAAAATAAGTAAATTAGCAAACAATAAGAACAACTACATTACAAATATATATATATATATATATATATATATATATATATAT